GAGCTTTAGTGACGAAGGGTATGGTCCTATCCCCTCGAGGTGGAAGGGAACTTGTCAAAGTGATTTAGACCCCAACTTCCATTGCAACAAGAAGTTGATTGGAGCAAGATTCTTCAACAAAGGCTATGGTATCCTCAATGCTACCTTCAATTCTCCCAGAGACCAAGAAGGCCATGGAACACACACTTTATCCATAGCTGGAGGCAATTTTGTATCTGGAGCTAATGTCTTTGCCATGGCCAATGGCACTGCCAAAGGCGGTTCACCTCGAGCCCGCATCGCTTCCTACAAGGTATGTTGGCCAGTAGAAGGTCGTCAGTGTTTGGATCCAAATGCCTTAGCTGCCTATGACGCTGCAATCAGTGATGGTGTCGACGTTATCTCGGTTTCCATCGGTGGAGAACCAAAAGAGTTTCTTAGAGATGCACTCTCTGTAGGAGCCTTCCATGCAGTTCAACATGGCATTGTTGTTGTTTGCTCCGCTGGGAACTTCGGACCGACTCCGGCGACCGTATCAAATGTATCGCCATGGGTTCTAACCGTTGGAGCTAGTACGATCGATCGTGATTTCACAAACTTCGTCGTCCTCGGAAACAAGAAGAAACTCAAGGGAACAAGCTTTTCTTCTAAAGCATTGGCATTCAACAAGTTCTATCCTTTAATCAATGCTGTGGATGCCAAAGCCAACAATGCCTCTAGCAGTGATGCGTGAGTATATCTAATGCATACCCATTTCTAATGAACACTTAAACAATGCATGAGTTATTGCAGGGAGGTTTGTAATGAGAGATCGCTTGATCCCACAAAGCTGGCAGGGAAAATTGTGGTTTGCCTTCGAGGGGTCATTTCAAGAGTGTCAAAGGGCTATGTAGTGGCCCAAGCAGGGGCTGCTGGCATGATTTTGGTTAACGATAAGGACAATGGGGATGCCATTGCCACTGATCTGCACCTCCTCCCAGCTTCCCATGTAACCTTCAACGACGGCATATCCATCTTCCAATACATCAAATCTACGAAGTATTGTTGCTCAATATTGTTCATTAAATGTATTGTTTTTACTACAAGTTTTGAAGCATATTGACATGAACTTTGATCAGGACACCAATGGCTTGCATCAGTTCTGTGAAGACAGAATTAGATGTCAATCCATCGCCAGTAATGGCAGATTTCTCATCAAGAGGCCCCAGTACAATCGAGGGATCAATCCTTAAGGTTGGTTTTTTTGTTTTTTTCTAGGAGTTTTTTAGTTTAAATTCATGCAAACTTAGCGTTTTTTTTTTTTTTTTCAGCCTGATATAACAGCACCAGGTGTGAATATAATAGCGGCTTACCCTGATGAAATACCACTGATAGAGTTACAGGTTGATGATCGTCGAGCTCCTTTTAAGGTAGATTCTGGCACATCCATGGCTTGCCCCCATGTTGCTGGCATTGTAGGGCTTCTCAAATCTCGATATCCTAAATGGAGTCCAGCCGCCATTAAATCTGCAATCATGACCACAGGTTTTATCGCATAATCAAATAGAAAAACATGTCTGTGTTTCTATATGGTTGTTTTTTTTATTTAAATAACTTTCCATAAACTTCATCTGTGCAGCCAAAACAAACGCCAACAACTTCAATCCAATCTTAGACTTTACCGGACTCGAAGCGACTCCGTTGGCATACGGCAACGGACATGTTGACCCAAACAGTGTGATGGATCCTGGCCTCGTTTACGACATTTCAATAGATGATTACCTCAATTTCTTGTGTGCTCGAGGCGAGAATGCAACACAAATCAACAAATTATCCCACAAGTTATTTGTTTGCGATCCATCATTCAAAGTGACGGATTTGAATTACCCTTCGATCTCAGTCACAAATCTGAAAACGGGCCCTGTGACGATCAATCGAAAGTTGAAGAACGTAGGAAGTCCAGGGACGTATATTGCTCAAGTGAAGGCGCCTTTGGAAGTCTCTATCGCGGTTGAGCCAAGTACATTGCAATTTACAGCCATGGATGAAGAGAAGAGCTTCAAGATGGTGTTGCAGAGAAGTGGAAAGGGAAGTCAAGAGGGCTATGCGTTTGGGGAATTAGCATGGTCTGATGGCAAACACAATGTTAGGAGCTCCATAGCTGTTAATTTAGGGAAATAGTTCTAATTTTCAAATAGTTGTTCAAGCAATGCAATGTAAATAGTGTATCATTTTAATTTGTTGGATAAATGCAAATTATGTAGTGTTTGTCCACAAATAGCTATTTACTGCATCCACCTTAATTGCGACATAGACCCAAAGGGATATCAATATCATTTCAATCAATCAGCATAGCTATTAAATATGAACCTCTCGACAAGCAAAATGTTGTCAAATGTCGATCACTTGATACCCGTTTTAAGATTGATTCATAATCGGATCACAATCAATCGACATAGCTATTACATACGAACCTCGATCAACAAGATAAATGTCAAACACCTGATACCCATTTTCAGATGGATTCATAATCAGATCACAATCAATAAGCTTAGCTATTACATATGAACCTCAATCGTAATTCACCTGATACCATTTTTAGATTGATTCATAATCGGATCACAATCAATCAGCATAGCTATTAACGTCAATCACCTGATACCCATTTTCAGATTGATTCATAATCGGATCACGAACATAACTTCAATGCACAAGCTTTTCAATAATCAATAAACTCTTCCCAGTGAGCAAAAATGAGTATTCGATAGAAACTTCTCATGAAAACTACAATAATCATGAAAGATCAAAACCTTTCAGCCAATCTGGCTGTGACTGCTCTCAGTTTTGAATAAACTTTTCCAGCAGGGGACCCTAAAATGAGGCTGCAAAGAGAATCCCTTGCAATCTTGATATTTGCGAAGGATCCTAATATGTGAATCTTGGTGTCTGCAATAACTATCCTCGTCTTTGTGGCGTTTTCGATGGCAAACTTTGTCTTACCAGCTTTACCAGACAATCTGCCTATGGCACGAGACAGGTGCTCGCCTCGAAGCGTCTTAACATCTTTAATCTCAAAAGACTCCACATAGAGTTCATCCACCCGTAGGAGTGCAACGGCATCGATCACATCAAAACCGAGCATGAAAGCATGGACAAAATCTGCACATTTCTGTAAGTTACTGATATCAGGCGTGTCTGCTCTGGTTTTAAGTTCGACTTTTCGTGCCTTGAGATTCATTCGGATGTCAATTTTCATCTGCTCATAAATTGGGGTGTAAATTTCCATCCATGCTTTCTTGAGCGGAGAATATCGATGCGGAGGAACAGAGACCTTTCGGAACTGAACTCGACCATCATTCATCTCATGAGGCTTTAGAGGATCAAAGTGAGGTTTTGGGGGTAATGTGCTAACTACTGGCTTCGGTTGAGATGAAACTGCTTCTACTTCCATGGAAGTGGAGGCTTCGGTTGACTGCATTATAGAATTGTTCTGAGTTTCCACACTGTAAACAACCAATGAACTAGTGTTAAACGACGAAAGTAATAGATCAAATATAAACAAAACCCCATCAACATGATAAGCAACAAAAATTGAAAATAAATCAGATAAACTTCATTCTTATCCTCCCAAGAAGAATTTCAGAAACAAAAATTCCTTTTCTCATGTAAAAGATGCATTGATTCTAAGATACTATAACCCAATATAACTATTAACTAATAACAAACAAGTAGGATTGAACTAAAAACAGTGCCGGGTTCTAAAATATACAATCCAATTTCAATTTTAGGTAACACAAGAATAGAATGCGTCGGCCTCGGATCATACGAATGAGCAACCAAACTAATGAAACTTCGGCAAAACAAAATTTAAAATCAGTTCCCATTGGGATGTCATCCACTGCAACGGAATGAAACTTGAAAGGTAGAAAAATATGGGGTAAATAGGGAGAATACCTGAGACCAAGAAAGGTAGACAAATATGTGAAGAAGGGGTACGGCGTCGACGGTGGCACAGAGAACGACGGAGGAGACGGCGGGAAGGTGCTAAGTTAACTGCTAAGAGGAAGAGGAGAAAGTGCGAAGAAATGAGGCGGCTCTCTTAGGGTTTAACGATCCTTTCTTCGCTCTGTTTTGTTTTCATCTTTGTTTCTTAAAATAAAATCAAATGGGATTGGGCCAATGGGGCTTTGGGCCATTGGGCCGTTAGGCCCATTATTTTATTTTATTTTTGTCTATTTTTTCACTAAAAAAAAATATTTTTTTAATAGACTTTAAGATTTGTTGTTTAAATAAGCTTCTCTCTTACCCGAAGGGAATAAAAAAATAATAAATAAACAAATTTAAAAAAATAAATAAATAAATAAACAAATTTAAAAAAAAAATAACAATGTAGAAGAAGAGTGGAGAAGATTAGAAAAAGAATCAAATATTTGGATTCACTTCTGTCCAAATTTGGACTGACGTGAGGTTCTCTAATTAAATTAATAAAAAAATCCATATTCCAAATGAATGAAAATATGACTGAATTGGTCCGGATCACTCTTTGAGACAGAGTGGAAGAGGAGAGTTTTCGGACAAGGAAAGACTTCAAAAGAATTGAATGTATTAGGTGAAAATCTCATGTACACTTCTGTCGAGTGACAAATTGCTAAGGATTATTAGTAGAAGATCATCGGTTCATAAATGTGAGGAATACTAAATCTTTATTGGGATGAGACCTTTTGGGAAAGCTCAAAGCAAAGACTATGAGAGCTCATGCTCAAAGTGGACTCGTACCATTGTGAAGAGTCGCGATTCCTAACCCCACCCAATATGGGTGACTTATCTATCAAAATTTCCACTACCACCACAAAAAAAAACTAAACTCTGCAGAAAATTGCTAAAATCTTACCTCGTTTGAAAAAAAGGAGATCGTGTATTGCATTGAGATACCAAAAACCTCACCAAATCGGGGTTTCAGGCTCGTGTTTCAACCCAATAAGATTATCTCGACTTTCACCTGGTCCCCTTTAAATTATGTTTTTTTGTTTAAGACAGGATTGACATAAGAAAGAATGGCATTAAACAATAAATTGAAGATTACAGATCTAATTTTAAGAAACAAGTTGAACATATTTCACAAAAAATTAATGAAATCCAAACAAAGTGGAATCAGAAATGAATCCATTCCATCACATCAAACTTGAAACGGCCAAGGCCAGTCCTTCAAATCCTCGTCCTGTTCAACCTTAGCGCTCCTCATCGCCGCCGCCCCATTCCCACTCCCACCACCGCCTTCAACAAACGCATAATACTTCAAGAAAAACGCCAATGTAAGAACAACCCACTCCAAAACAAACATGGTTACACTCAACCCTCCGGCCAATTTCAAGATCACGGCTCCATCCTCCTCCCTCACGTACGATTTCAACTCCCCCAGAAAGTCCCCTGTTCTGGTGTACACCAGGACAGCAACAGAGCCTTGGAAGATGGCGGTGAGGACGGTGAACACCATGTGGATGCCGAACCAACGGCCTGAGGCGGTGGAGGCCATGGCGCAGCCGGAGACGGCGGCGGCGATGGTGAGGATGTGGAGGAAGATGAGGGAGAGGCCGCAGAGAGAGGGGAGGAGGCGGAGGGAAAGAGTGAGGAAAATGCAGCTGGAGGCGGCGCCGAGGAGGATGTAATTGGTGTAGAGGAAGAGCTTGTGGGTGTGGTAATGGGAACGGCTCATTGAGGTTGATGATTGTGGGTGGCCGCTTATGGAGAAACCCATTTTTTCTCGGAGATGGAGAATTAATTTGATGAATTTGAGAAAGAATTGATGAATTTCTTTGAGCTTTTGTTGGAAGAAGGTTTGGTAATGGCGGATGTTGGGAGAGGGTGTGGAATGAAGAGGAAGATATAGGCGGTGGGATCTTGCCCAACGGCTACATTTCTAGCCGTTGGAGACAATCTGAAAAACTCCAACGTTACTCTGCTGTGTGTAATTCACAATCTAACGGCTACTTTTCTTTTTCCCGTTATATAATATATATTTAGGGAAATAGAGATTTTTACAAAAAAAAAAAAAAAAA